TAGTTAGCTGTCAGTTGACCATCTGTTAAGGCACTTGAAATGCTAATTTTCCTGGGCGGGGCCCTTCAAAGAAAATTCAGATATGAAGCTCGTTTACCTACTTCCTTATCCATTCACGGTTAGCCTTCTACAGAGAATTGAATAGTCGTGCATTAACATGAGAAATAAGCGCTGATATATATATATATAGAGAGAGAGAGAAATAGAAAAGGAGGGACACTCGAATACGCGTAAAGCATTGAATTTCTTGAAGCTACACGCACTTTTCGATATAGGAACGTGTGTGCTCGGGGAATGTAAATCCTCTAGACCTCGTCATTTTTTTCGGAATATCGAAATCCCTAAAGACGTAGAAAATTCCACGCAAAAAATTTGAGTGAATTCTCGTGCTAATTGCAGGAATGTTCAATGATACGTTTTTATCTTTTCTTAAAAGGACGGCATTTAACGCACGCGCGTAACAGCTACTTATTTCGTACATTTCGAGCATTTCTTAAGCCTATAGCAATAACGATTGATGCCACGTGCCGCATGCAAATATAAAAACACTTTTCTAGCCGAACGTGAGCGAGTGAGCAAATATTCTACGAATACATACCTATCGAATAAACTTTTTTAAATTTTAAACATATAAGTAATTTTCGATATATTTATAACTACATATATATCTAACCATTTATTAACGTAATCACGTTTTTTAATCTTGAAAGACATTTATTATTATACATAAAGAGTTTAAAAAAGAAAAATTTAGTGCTCAAAATAAGAACCGATTAAATAAAAATTTTTAATTAGGTTTTATATATCTATAAGAAATTGAATTGGATATAATATTGTGTAAATATAAATAAAAATATTACAAAACTGATAATCGAATGAGATAATTTCAACAAAAATAATTTGAAAGTTGATAATCTTAATGAAAGGTTACGAAAATAATTATTCAAGTCCTAGTTTAGGTTGAAAGGCCCAATTTTTAATTAATTTTCTCCAATATCGTAGAAGGGATTTGGATATTCCGTTAACACTAATATTCAGACAGCAGTCTGAAATCTAAATTTGAATGAAAAGCGTACAAAGGACAAGGTGACGACATACGTCAGCACAAATATATGAGCGAAAGTGAAAGATGGTGTCGTTATGACGTCAATATTTACATCAATATTATTTTCGCCGTTCATATGGTGCTCAGCGCTTTTTTTGTTAACGGCCATTTTAAAGATATTTCCCCCGAAGATATAAATAGTTAGTACGATCGAAATAGTATCTTGGATACTTTCTTTATTATCGAATTTTATGATGATAACAATCTACGAAAATAATTCGTATACATATTATGAAAACATGACTATTGTCAGTTCGCCTATAAAGATTCTACTGCAGCCTAGTAGCTTGCAGTAAATGATGCAAAAAAAAAGCAATAGAATATTAGATTATTGTTTTATTCGTTCTAACAATTCATGCGATATGTTGAGGAGTGTAAAATACTGGATATCCAAAATTTTAGCATGCAATGAGATCTACACAGAAATGTGTGAGGATGCATAAGTAATTATATTTTAAATTGTAAAAGTTATATGAGAGTGGAAATAATACATTCGATTATATCAATGATCACATATAACAATATATATGAACGATAAAGATCAACATTTCGATTGAAATTAAAAAAAGAGAAAAAGTTTGTCACGCTTTCCACCAGGAATATCAGATATGTCAATATGTGCCAATATATCGAATCTCATAGTGCTTCTTGATTCGATATTCAACAGATAACTAAAATTTTATTTAAAATTCTATATCGTTACATATGATATCTCATTCCTTATTCACTTGATATAGTTTTCATTCCCGAATTCAATATCTGGTATCCCGAAAACTTCGTGCACATTTAATAGAGCTTCATGTGAGTCGAGGTGACATCCGATTTGTAACTTCAGCAGGGAAGATACCATAAAGCGCGCCAAACTGGTCCTGCGGGCGAAGATTCGTAGGATCGGATTATGAAAGGTGTACAAGCACGAAGATTCGCGTGACTTAAGGCACTAACAGTAATACTTAAGGCCTAACGCAGCGTCCCCCTTCCTTAACATTAGAAGGCACTATTCCCTATCAGAGTACAACACGTAACAAATGTTAATTTATCGACCCTCGCATTAATCTTACACGCGGAGGTTTTCTCTTTAATGATATAAACTGGCTCTAGCATATACTGGCATCTTGTTCCGTTGTCTCAACTGGCTTCATGATAGGTGTCCCAACTAACTTTAGCCGCGTTATGCAGCGGCGTAAACGCGGTTTAAAGAAACAGGCTAATGCTACATCTGCCACCTACGCAGTGTATGTTGCGTTCCGCAAAGTTTCTAGAGATTATGTGCACAATGTATTACAATATCAAGAGAGCGCATTGAGATTTTCGTGTCAATTACGTGTCTAATCATTTGACGCGCGGAATAAAGCAATTTCAGTATCTTCGGTATAATTTTCAACAGCCAATCCGTCTTTTCTTTCGACTGAAATTAAATAAACATACACTGTTTACACATCACATTATTTAATTAATTCTACTAATTATTATTACGTTTTTGTACTCTTAATATTAAATCAAAATTACAAAAACTATACAAGGCGACAAAATGTTTAGTCATAAAGTTGAATATTTATCAAATCATTACCCAGGTAGCAAACGTTATTTGTTGCCATTTTGTAGTTAAAATGACATTCAAAGGTGTCATTTTGACATTAAAATGATGATAAATAATGTCAACTTAGGTAATAACATACATTTAAAAGAAAACAAACTCTAAAATGTTAGGTACCTGTTATTAAACATAAAAAAATTTTTAGGATAACACTATAAATTTATATAATTGTTTTAACTATATGAATTACAGTAATCTGACCACTAAATTATGATCATAACGATCATATATATATTTTTTACCAATAATATATTTTTTAGTTATTGTTACCACATGTAAATAGTAAGCGAATATTGAAAAAATGGTGTTATATTCATTGCAATTATGATTGCAGTTACTACATAAAAATGGTTATTCTATTTACCATCCATATTTCCATACATTACTATATTAATATTTAAATTATCATAATTTATAGTACAATTTTTGTACCGTTTGATAGAACTATACATATATTGTTATTAACATTGTAGCAATAATAACTATAAAAATGATGCTCCTAACCATAATTATTTTACCATGTAATTATAGTCACAAATACGATATACTTTTCTCTCACTGTAAGATGTGTGTATTTGTGATTTTAAAACTTAATTGTTATTTTTGGCATATAAAATATGATTAACACTTTGTAATTTGGTTTTATAAATATACATTACTAATTTGATAAATACAAAACTTTGTGGCCACAAAAATTGCTGTCTCCCTACACAAACTAATTTCTATCGAAGTCTATTAATTCAATAGTAAACAATTAAATAATCTTTAAAATGTAAAGCTTAAATTGCCTTTTTGACTTAGTAATTCTGAAATCGCCAATTCGAAGTGTCAAGATATCCCGATATAATTATCATTTTTAAAAACAAAATTATAAAGAAGAATATAAATATATACAAAAAATGAATCGTTCTTTCGACAATCCACAGAATGTTTGAGCATTTCGATGCTTAGCGGATATTTATTGAGCTGTTGAGTTTTCAAAATGTCCACGTAAAATGCGGAGTAACACTGTCACTAATTTGTGTTCGCGTAAAATCTACAATGAATTCAGAATCGAAAATCTCAAAGCGCAATAGAAAAGAATAATTTACTCGATTATGCTTGTTTTTTTTCATAAAGCACTATTAACAATATCTCGTGATTGCACCTTCTACTTTGGCACCTTTACGCGCAGAATTCAAATTTAACGAATTGCGAATTTACGATTAAAGAAAGATCCTCCTTTCTGCGATTAAAAAGAGATTTTGGAAAGTATCGTACATATAAAGCCATCAGTGATATTGCTTGTTACGTAATACTGGCTTCTGGTATGCCGACGTTTATATTACGCTTTATTACTACGTAATAAAACGTTAATGATTGTCCGTCTCTAAACGCGAAATTCTTTGTGCATAATCGAAAAATTGCTCTATCAATGCTTTACGTAGTGTCTACGATCACGATTGTAGTTTATTTAACTGAGCATGCTAAGTCCCAAGCTCCGTCACCGGAGTTCGATATATTCTTTAACTTACATGCTAACCATTTATTATCTTAATTAATGAATTAATTATTATACTGGCTCTCTTCTTCGCGATACATACGATAAATGGTGCTCTAGACTAGTTGAGCTGGCCTTAATTAAATGTATATATATAAAAGAAAACAAACTGGATAATCGAACGAGTAAAAATTGGCTAGAAACACAGAAGAGAACGGATATATATAACGATACGTCTCATCGTGCCGAATCTGTAGGTGATCTCGATCGCACAAGCGGATTATTTTTCCCTCAAAATCGTGAAGTGTGAAACACGCCTTCGTTAAAGCTCGACAACTAATAAAACGATTATCTTTGCTCGCGATTATTCGATCATCATAACCTTGACATCGGTTCAATTATCGTGACCATCAATTAGCTGTGACCATTCTTTTCCGCAGAGATCCCGTCGGAAAGGCGAAACGAGAGACAGCACCGAGAGAATCAGACGATCAAAGTTGATCGGCGCCGCGATTACTTAGCTCGCGGTTAAGTGCTAAATCTAATAAACGCGATTTGTTTACTTCATCGATTTATTTTCTCTTTTTCCTAGTTACTGCCTTGCCCGGCCGGACAGTCCGGCCTAAGGTTCGGAACGGGCCGACACGTGGCGTGGCTCTTCAGGTCCCAAATGTAAGAAATATCATCGTTTCTCGTCTAGGATTGCTCGGGATCACTAGCCGATTATCGAGGACCGTTCTCCAGCTTTCCTCTATTTCCTCTCGCAGATCGGTGTGCGCTTTCTCTCACATCAACGCGGCTCTAGGCGGTCCTCACCATCAGTGCCTCTTCATGTGGAGCGACAAGTGGTCGCTCCGCGAAAACGATCGCTGACAGAGATGGCACTTGAACGGCTTTTGGCCCGTGTGTTTGCGATAGTGCCGCGTTAGCTCGTCCGATCGTGCGAATTTCCACGTGCAGCCTTCCCACGTGCACTGATATGGCTTCTCGCCTGCAACAGATAAATAATGCTATGAGAATACTTTGACGATAAGATATTCTAATGTCAGATGAAAATTAACGAATGTGTTAATATCCTTACTATTTAAAGAAAAAATATTACGTTTCTCAAAGCCAAGTTGGTTAAAAAATTTTTCAATCACTTCAGAATATTAACGTAGACATTTGTTATCCGCGTATACTTAGCATAACCAAAACCCATATCTTTAAGCATTTTACGACACATAAATTTCATGTTTTCATATTTACATTTTCTGTATTTCAGAAATAAACATACCATAAATTTTATATTCATCCATATGAGTTTTACATACCGCATACTGTTAACACAGATAATATGTCAAAACTTATATCTAGACCTAATTATTTATATCATGTGAAAGAAGTCAGACATTAAAGATAAAAGTTAGATATACGTTTCTATTCTAGATATAAAAATAGATGGATCAAACACTATAAAATGTATGAAATAATCATCGAAATATTATGTATCAATGTATAATTAATCACGTGAATGTACACTAACATAGTACAATAGTTATTTGCTTTGAAACGTTCTATCTTTTTTATTTATTACACTTACTAAATCAAGATAAATATAACAATTTATGATTCATTTTAATTCAACGAAAATTTAATTCAAAGAAAACAAAAGTTTTAATTTGATTTTAAATATTGATAATAATCCTTTTATCAAAAAAACAATATATGTATATACGTTTGTATCGTATTTATCATATTAATAATCATACATCCTGTGTAACGAACAATATAAAATCTCTTATCGTATTCGCGCGGTTTGCCTCAGTAGAAAAGTTTTTTGTTACATAACAAAGTATATTAAGCAAACAGAGTGGAATGTCACGTAAATATTTTGATGTTGATGATCGTGATGATCACATCAGTCGCTTTAGATCTATCTAAAACAGCTTGTTATAAAATATTATATAATATCTAATATTATCATTAATTATCGTTAATTATGATATGATCAAAACAATGCACAAGTTATATTACGCAATACATATTTGATATAAAAGCTATCGTCCATGCGCTAGTCAAGAAACTTGCATTAATTTTTGCATTGCATTCAAAGTGTGAAAGTAATTATTAAAATATCATATAAATTCACTCTTTTGATATTAATAAAAAAAAAATTCTAACAGTAAATAATTGGTTTACTTGAAACTATTCGACAAACAAATTACTTATAGAGTTAGAAAACTTTTTTCAGTGTAGTGATTCTATTTATAGTCTAACATATATTGATTCGTCTTGTTTTAATCGCGTGTAATACACGACAAATTCGGGCACCTGCGAGATTCCACAAAAACGTCGAAAACTGTTTGATGCATTTAAACGGTTAAATGCTAATGGAGCACTGCACACATACGTGCGTAATCTGATGTAGCGTCATCGTTTACATGTAAATTGTTTCTAAACTCTGTTTGAACGAGCGTTCGACTTTTCAAGCGTGTCTTATAAGCATTCGGCGCAGCCCAGTCTAAAATTAGCCCAGTCTAAAACGCGTGATATAAAAAGATAGGACGTTCCATAAAAAAAACACCGTTCAGATATCACGACATATGTAAACGAGGGACCCTATATATAAAGATCTCGTCGTGTCTGGCTCAGTCAAAAAGAAGTCCACCTTCGAAGTGTTCGAATCATACGAAGTGCTAAAATCATGATATCGAAATATCAAATATTTGTGATACTTATAATCGTTAATATCATCGGTTTGATTTCAGCTAACCAAAGTGAGTAACTAACGTTTCTTATGCTTACAAATATGATAAATATTAATTAATCATTTAAATTATACTCACACTTATCTAGGAATTAATAATATAGTTTTCGTCATTTTCATTATTTTATTTATATAGCGCCAGAACAAAAATGCATACTGGGAAAAGAATACTTCGACGGCTGCAACAATTGCTACTGCCAAGTTGGAAACATTGTTACCTGCACCAAAAAGTTGTGCCAAAAGTATGATTTGGAAACCCGAAGTGAGGTACCTGTGGCATTGCTTCCGGCACCTTCTGATTTCTGGGAATAATTTTTGTAATTCTATAAGCTTTATATTTTAAATTTGTTTGATTTAAAATGCATAATATGTAATTTAAAAGAATTAAAAGTTATTAAATAACGTTTTGTTTAAATTAAAAAATATTCATTGATAAACGATGTGAAAATGATACAAAAATATAAAAGCTCTAATTAGCAGTCTAAGAAATGTATTTCGAGAAATTCATAAAATAAATTTGGCAAAATATAAGTATATACATATATTATATCATATTTGTGTTATTTTTATGTTATATAATATAATTCACCGTTTAGCTGTAAATAAAATGCAATGTGTGCTCTAAAAATGTTAATTTTGCGCACAAAACGTAAAAGTTATAAGTAATTAAATTATTTGGAGATACCAAGTATGCTGTTCCAGCACAGTGGCATTTAAAGATTAAAAATTAATTTACTGTTTAACTCTAATCGATATTCGTTCTGAACTTTCCTTAACTAATGTTTGAGGGTCTCTCTTAAGTGTATTTTAAATTAATGTAACTTTTTAAAGGTCAAAATCTGAGAAATACGATTATGTAACTTAAAATCATGTAAAGTTGCGAAAATGATTAATAAACAATTTTCGACAACGTAGTAGAAGAAAATATTTACTGAATCCACGAATACTGAATCAGAGTTACTTTATATTAAAATGATTACGATTATATAATCGCATCTACACTATGCTATGCTGTGAAAAACGATTAGACATCGTGTGACCCACGAAAGAAATAGGAAGAAACGAGATTGAAAGACGGAGTGAAGACCTGTTCCAGATGTTTTACGGATTACGACTCTGTCGTAAGACGATGACGTAATCGCCATCAAGTTCATCCGCTTCGTGCAACACGAGACGAAGACGGACTGACGAATCGAATGTTACGATCGGGCGGCCGGTTCGCAATCTCATTAAATAAATCTACAGTCGGTTGAACTCGGATAATAGCCCAGTCGGTTCAGCGACGAAGGCGACGACGTGCTAGTCTTCTCTTTAGGTTCGATCTCGTGGAAAACGTCGCAGTTTGATCGATATATCTGCGCGTTTGTCCGCAAATCTCCGCGCGGGTAGTCTCAGCTAGCTGCAGGTCGTAAGTCACAGCAGGTCAAGACAAGGAGTGTTATTATCACGAGGATCGGTCGGGCGAAGAGGGAAGTGGGATCGATGCTTAACCCTTAATTTGGTATTTGCCCTTGTAAATGGCCGGTGTTAAGGCACGGTCGGAACAATTATCGCGTCGTGGGGCGTGAGCCAAGTCGCGGTTTCCCACCCCAACCGCAAAACAAGGCACATTTATTATTACGCATTAGGGACGATTAATCTTTATAAATCGGACGTTTTAATTATTGTAGTACATGAAGGGGGAAAAGATCGCCCGTGAGATCGTTTTAACAAGAAATTGCGCTTTCGGTATCTTTGCGATGACTTCGTAGATGGAACAACTCGATACACAACTTGGAGTCATATTTTTGTCTACAAAAAAGCGCATTCTATCTTTCAACGCGATTTATCCTATTGTGCTAAAATAATAGAATTAACACGCACATCGTGTATTTCGCGGAAAATGGATTGCCGTTGTTTACAGCTGATGTTCGTATTGTCTGTAACAACTGTAGATACCACGGTTTATAAACGCAAAAAGAAAACTAGTCATCTTGGAATATTAACGTCACCTTTCTGACATCGCGAGTCTAATTACCAAATGGTAATTAACGAGGCTAGCCTGAAAGTCAGGATAATTAGAGACGCGCGACCCAGGGGAATGGCAAGCTGTTTTCCCCGATCTCTCGATTTACGTCGATTGGAAAGGATCGGAGTTTTAGCGAGGCGCGTGGATCGTGGTCTCTCTCTTTCTATCTCTTCACGATATATCTAAATCGGCCGTCTTAAACGTCTCGCCCATTCGGCGAATATTATTCCGCAACGCGCTGAGGATACGCGAAACGACTAATGACGCTGTGAAGGAAGGTGTCCGCGCGCTCACGGTTATGTAATCTTGAGTAATTAGTCCATTTACGAGCCATGTGCACGTAATATCGGTCGATGGGCAACGGACGAGGGTCGCATTAGTTCTCCTGTTATTAATGTATTTCGATCGTATTTTTACGTGCGGACCCGCGTGTTTATTGCGCTGTAGATTATAACGCGGTATCTACCCTCGTATTCGACCTCCCTTTCTTCTCGATACGTTACTTAATCGCGAAATTAGCCGATCGTTTGCAGCACCGCTCTCACAGCGAATGCACACCTATATATAGCAAAGAAAGAATAAATAAAAGAACAAAAAAAAAGATAATTTAAGAAATAAGGAACTTATATGGAAAATATAATTATATTAAAGTATCTAAAAATTTAGCTATTCCCTAAAACTTTTAGAGTGAATCTCACTTTTAAAATTAAAAATTGAGTCACTCTTTTTCACACTCTTTAAGAATTCCACTTCAAAGAGAGAAAGAGTATTTAAAAAATAGATATAGATTCAACAAATTTTGTAACTATATATTTTTTGTAATACAAACGCATTACGATTCATTTGTTACACGAGCTGGAAAACGAGCAGAGACGTTATTTAATTGTCACATAATAGCATATCGCGTCTTTTATGATACTTCAGGATACAGAAACAAGTTCATTCATCTTGAGACAAATCTATTGTAGTCACGCAAAGTGTAACTTTTAAATCAGTATTTGTAAGAGTAGATCCTTGCTGTTGGGAATTATCAGCAGCCACATGGGGCAATACCGAGCCCCCCCCTCTGGTCTTGTTTTTCATTTAAAATTACAGCTTATATTAATAATATAAACTATAATTAGTTAATTATTGTAATTTAAAGCCAATATCCTTTGAATAAAGATTTCTATAATGATAAATAATCGTCGTTTATTTAATTTTTCTCTTAAGTATTTGCAATTCTTCCCTACGTCAAAGCATTGAAAGTATAATAGTATTTACCTTAAACGGCGTGTATACTGCAATAGTATCGTTCGCGTTTATCTTGTGTTCGTAATTCCCTCACTCTCCTTTATACTGTATTATATCGCAACGAATGATGTACAAACAAGATGTTATTCAGCGTATTAAGCTACGCAATAATGCGGACATATGCCAGTGTTTTATATGAAACACGTTAATTTTCTTCGTGAAGAAAATTAATACTATTTATGTCGTATTGCATAATATTTACCGTACCGTGTTACAACATCGCTGAACACATAAATTAGGAGCAGCTTGTACATACATACAATACGTTTTTCAGATCCGCCGTTAACCATCGGTTAACGAAGCTGTACGCTTCGAGACATTTGCAGCACGAGGCATATAATTATCACATCACAGCATGTGAGAAAGTTGCTAGGACGCATGGTTGAGCGACACGATGCGTGCTGGTAATGAGGAGCGAACTAACAGCTCTCTCGACTAGAACGTTAAAAAAAAGAAAGAGTATAGCGTGTCGTTTGCGAATGCAATGTTCACGTGATGTCAGTTCGAGGCTGTAATGAGATGCTGAGTCTCCTACGCACCTTGAAATTATACATGCCTCGAATAATTTATTTCACTTTTGGCACACAATTGAATTTGCTTCTCTCATCGAGAAGTTATGCGAATCTTTTTCTTTAATGTCCTAAAGACAGATGTATTTCAAAGTAGCAAAATATTAAAAATACAAAAAAAGAAGTTACAATTGCATATTATACACAAGTCCATTTATTTAGTAGATTTTTTATTTTTATTAGATTTATTTTAAATAAAATCCTCTTTTTTTTCTTTCTGAAACTGAAATTTATACTTGCAAAGTTGTGGATTTACTTCATACATATCCCAAACTTTTCAATTATATTCAATTATAATGTAAAAAAATTAACCACTTTAATTGATACGACAATTAACGTAATTTGTAAAATCACTTTTTTTAAATTTGACCACGAATGAAACGTGAAGCAAAATATCGAGCATAAAAGTGATGCTGGCCGAACACACCGAAGTTAAGATTATGGGAAATTAGTTGCAGAAAAGAGAGCAACATGAGAGATTTGCAACGACCGACGAGAACAATGCGGAGGAGCATGCTCGTCAAGAAATCGTTAACCTACCAGACGTAATCGCAGCCTTCGGCATTAGTGCATACGTGCATTGTTAATAACAGGGTACTCGAAGCACTACTACTCCGTAGAGAAATCCACAGAGGACTGCCTGCGATCATTGGCGTATCCTTCGATACACGGAACCGATCAGCCGACGTTGTCCGGCTTACGCCAAGGCTAATTCGCCTTAATTAATACACGAGATCTCACCAAACCTCCTCCTGTCTATCAAGGGTCACGCCAGTCGGCTGACACCGAGCCTATATTCTGATAGTTACGCACAGTGATTCTCAGCAGCGATTCTCTTCGATCGATCAAATATTTCTGTTGTAACGCATTATGAAGAATCTTGTATAATTCGAATATATGGCATAATAGTAATTAGGAACAGACTAATTCCTAAATAGAACAGAATTAATACACAAAAAAAATGATGCTGTAATGACTAATAGCATTAGCAAAAGAGTAAAAATGTCGGCCATCTACCATCCCCCAACCTCATTTATAACCACCGCAAATAGTAATATGTAATTATCACTAGAAATCACAAAGTTACACGGTCAACGGTAATTGAAACACAACTTGTGTCGCTGTGTGCATAAAAGTGTGTAGTAATTTTACAATTGAAAAGTACTCAACAATAATAAGCTTTAAAATGCATTTAAGAAGTGCTAGACGAATATCCCTAGTGTAAATTTAATATCTGTGCAGTCTATAACATAACTGTAACAAGCAGTTAATATATAATTGATAAATAAAGTATTCTATAATAATCATAAAGAGCTTAATAAAATTTACTTGTATTATAATTTATTATTCATATTGAGATTTAGACAGAATGCACTATTAATAACTTCCTGAATGCAGAATTTGTGTGCTGTTCAAGCCTTTCCCACGTTTGCATTAACAGCTTATACATATAAAGTTAATTATAAATAAACTTAAATTTATATTGCTCTCATTTAATGATACCTCGTTAAAAATTCTTCCAAGTCAATCAAAATCATGGCTCGCGGAAAATTCTGGCACAGGAAATAACGATGCATTTAAAAGAAGCGCGGCGAGCATTTCTTAACTCATGCAGAATCATCCTCAGCTGAGGGAAATGCGATAATTAGAGATACCTGTAGATACACATGTTGTTATGCGATTTCTCACAAGTAGATAAGGAATTTTATGTGTACGCTAATGGGCGTAGGAAACATCTCTCACCATATAATCGTGCAAGGGCGATTTACCGTGTGCTCATAATGAGCTATGATTCTCTACCTGTAATGCAACTCTCGTTACACGCAACAGCGTGCGTCGGGTACGTTGCTATATTCATCGATATTAAAAGTAATATTAGGTTCTTATTATTCCGTTACGTCGTCAATGAGGCGCGTAATACGAACAACATTTAGTTACGACTCTCGCTGAAGCAATTAATATTGCTGATAATATATTTTGCCCTTTTACCCACTATTATCGAAAAGAGTGCTATAGGGTACGTCATAATTTAAAAAATCCATAATTATTATAATTTAACTGAATATATCATTCCTTTATTTTAAAAGAAAACGATACATTGTATCATACTCCTATACGCAATTCAAAAAATAAAATTAGAATACTTAGAGTTAAAACAGTCTTGATGATTGAAGTTTGAATAATTTAATCATTTTACTTAACTCGGGTAAATAGTAAGTAAAACTGTTGATCAGATTTCGAGTCATTTTTGATCATATTTGTAAAAGTATTTTTTTTTTCCAATATTATTTGTTTAGTCAATAAGTGTTAAATTAAAAAATAGTTTTTCATTGCTCCATTTGTTATTGCAAAATATTTCAATTATAAAGAAGCAATGAAGAATATCGCGATAGAAAGCAACACTCATAAAATATCACGAAATGAGTAAACCACAATATTTAGTGCGCAAAATCTGTTGAAATCACGAGTCGTTGAGAACCGGGCTCATTATTCCTCAAACCGGAGTAATTTTATGGTCACTCCCGCCGGCTTCGCAACGATAATCATGATCGCGCGATTTACGAACGAGTTATGCGGAATGGTAGAAATGACAGTAATCAATGAATTGGCATTTCCCACATCCAGGCGGTATCCACCTCAGTAAAGATATCTCGATGGTGTTAGAATGACAGATAGACAGCACGATTCGCTAGAAACGAGCGTTGCACGCCAGTTATCGAAACAATTATTAGAAGCGAGGTGAATACGACATATACAACGAGGTCTGGGTATGTCAAGTAATGGCCTTTTGTTTATCAGCCGATCACCGTGCTCCAGGGATTTCGTATAAAATCGTCTACTGTAGTAGTATCCTAATGTACGAAGCATGTTCCGGTGTCTGTGGAGCGAGTTTCTCTCAGAATCGGAGCAATGGAGAGAAACCGAAGCAGGAAGATCACGTAAAAACAGAAGGCACGTAAAATTTTCGTGAGATGGGATAAAAAAAATGGTAATTCTGGTCTTTGATTTGTATTTCAATGGATACTTACAATTAATGCAGAATGTGACCAATTCCACTTTAATTCTATTAATTTATATTAAGAAATAAAATAAAACGGATAGTACAAGATATCGTGAATTCTCTAACAAAATTATGATAAATTACTATCACAAAATGTGACCTTTTTACTAAAAATGTTTAATTTATCACAAAAATTGCAGTTTTAAAATTTCATTATTTTTAATTAGTAACACAAGAAGAATAGTTTTACTAAAGTATCTAAAGATTTGAATATATAGATCTAAAAATATTTTTGTCTGTCAAAATAAATTATATAAGATTCTTAAGCTGGTAAATTATCGTAATTTTAAATATAAAATTCACGATGTCTTCAATAAAAAAATAAATAAATAAGTAAACATTCTTCTGTGCTTTTCTCCAAATTTCTATAAAGTTACGACGATCAACTCGATAAGAGAGAGAACGAAAGTCTCGGTGATTTCTATAAGCGAGAGCGTCTCCGGGTTGAGCACCGCGATCGCGCCGCGTCTCGCTTGAACCATGGACCAGACAAAAGATCCTGGTTCTCACGACCACGCCCTCTCTCCTCGCCGCCTGTGCCCCTCGCCAGACGGCGGCGATGCCTTCACGAAGGTACCTATCCACCGGAAATTCCTGAAGCAACCACCATCGCCGCCGCCGCTGCCACCGCCGCCGCCACACCACGTCGTGTATATCCACACGGTCAGGAACGGAACGGAATGGAACAGAACGCGTATGGAACTCCTCCAAGTTCTCTCGTGACGCGGTAATAAATGGCCGGGGTTGTATGTATACGCGGGGCGCCCGTATACGAGAGCGGATAAAAGTGCGAATCTTTTCTTCTCCCTCCCCTTCTTACCCCTTCACTCCCGCTGCTGGACAGAGGCACCTCCTCGGCGACGTCGCGGAACGGTATCGAATTTCCGCGAGGCTCCACGGTCGTGAATCCTAGCGTGCGAATGCCGACGACCTCTGACCTCGACGGGCCGCGGATCACGCGCGCGAAAAGTCCTGGCGGAGGATAGCACGGCGCCACACCGTGTGTGCCTCTTATCTTTTGCATCCTGCAGCATGCAAAAGAGTCACAGCGTTCCCGATATAAATTCGCGAAACACGACAAACGCGTGACTGAATCGGCGATTGTCGTTAATCGATTTTATAAAAAAAAACTCGGGGAGGAGGGAAATTCCTTCACAATTAAATAATTCATGCGAAGAATTTAATTTCAAAATTGCCTTTTTGTAGTAATCGGATGGCAATTTCTTGAGTTCGTAACTCGTACTTAAATCTCACGGCAAGCGGTTACCGCGGACAGACCACGTCCAATTCGAGCGTCTCGTTCGAGTAAAGCGTGGTGGTCTCGGCCTCTTATTCGTAGATACTAAAGGAATGTTCAATGACTAACGATTTGCCGTCGAGTACTTGACACAGTTGGGTGACAAGTTATTAACTACTGTACAATCAACCCAAACATTATTATTGATAAATGATGATATTTGATCGTAAGGTGCGAGTTTTAAACCGATTTAATATGGAACGATAGAGATCACAATTCCCAATTTCTATGTAGCTTCTTGTTAGTAGGAGAGCGATTTCACTCACTTTAAAAGTTCACATCATACTACTTCGCTGAATGAGATTCTATATAGCTTATACATATAATAGTTGCATGTGATAACGATGAGGCGCTGTCTCTCCACAATTAAATTGTTTCTTGTTAGCTTTTTTCCAAATGCTATACGTTCGTTGATTTCCTAACTCTATTAAGAAAAGGGAAGCAAAATGTGAACGTTGATACACGTCAAGCTAATGCTTGCAATTACAAATTTGATGCTACAATGGTTCGAAGCATTTTTCATTGGTCAATTCATAAAATTCTTTCGATTGATCAACCAAATGTTTTGAAGCATTTGTAGTGCCAAATAGACCAGACACTTGGTCACCTGATGTAGACATTCAATATTGAAAACAATAGCGTAAACTGAGAAAACTGCGTACGGGAGAGAAGGTATCGTTAATGACGAAATGCGCGATCCAACGATTGCTGACGTACGCACATGAGTCACGATCGCACATAGTGATCATCAAGAACGTAGCGCGTTTGTTTCTTTGAATCGATTGATTTATTTCATCTTGATTAGCTTCCCAACTGAAGTTCCAATAGTTATCTATAGCTTTTTAACCATGGAATAGAGAGATTTATGATACGACGCTACGTAATTTAACTTTTTTTTTTTTATTTGCAACTCCAGTGGTGTATTCGACACTGCGGTATAGCTTTGTCCATGAGTCCCTGATCGAAAGAGAATTCTTATCTTCCATAATATGCAGTAATTAAGAACTTTAGAATACTATCGCTATTGAGTATTGTTATCGAAACGTAATTTTTACATACAAGAAAATACAGGCCACTTTTAATTAAGTAATACAAGTTTTTCATACATTTTACACTCATAATGGCGAAATATTCTTAATTTAAACTTTTATAAACAAATAATTGTTAAGTCAAATAAAAAGAAAAAATAAGCATATTATAAAATTCAATCCTAAAGTAATATAAAACATAGAGTTTAATTAAGTATATTTCCACATAATCACATTTAAATGTATAACACAAAGTAATAACACAATACTGCTTAAAAATTGAAATTATTTATCACGCTTTCTGTTATAATAATAATTACCAGGTCAGAAAGTTTGAACTGATAATGGCCAATATTTTTAAAAACTCATCTCCGCTTGTCCTAGCTTTTAGCAGATTAGACTTTCTAATGACCACTGAAAGCATAACTTAGGGCTCAATGACCTCGCTCATTTGTACATACAATTTACACATCAATAGCATTCTAAAGTTAACACTTGAATAGAATAATTGATAGAAACAAAAATAAATGCAAACATGGAAATTTTACTAAATATTTAACTGGATACAGATCTAAAAATAATTTTGTCGCACCATTAAAATAATTAATAGGATGTTGAAACATGATGATTAATGCTTGCAAAGAAGTATTCTATAATAGGAATCAGTTTAGTCAGCGTCCTATATAATTACTTTCCACCAAAATTTTTCAGATATTTTAGTTCTTTTCACAAAACAGTACGCGACAAAACAATTTATTGTATTATTTTTGAAAAAAATTAAACTTGACACGTGCGGCGAAAATATAGATGTAAAATTTATTTAAAGAAAAAATTACACGGAATATTATTTAACACTATTCTGCAAAATTGATAAAGCGCCATGTATTCTCAAAATTAACGCTAACTTACCGGTATGAGTCCTCTTGTGCGCTTTTAGGTGCGAGCTCTTTGTGTAAACTTTGTCGCAGCCAGCAACGTCGCATCTGTGAACTTTGCGTCTCTTCAGCGCGTCGCCGCATTCGCCATCGACACCTAAATTACCACCATTTCCGCCAACACCGGCGTTTCCTCTGCCGCCCAAACCGATACCCGCTGCTAGCGCCGGACGTTTGTGGAACACGCTATAATCAGATAGTTAAACCCACAAAAAATTAATCCCAACATTTGTGAATAAATACAAATAAAAATAGCATGCCTTTAAAATTACATTCAATACAATATTCTTTTTTTAAGTTTATTTTAGTTGAGACAGATTCTTCATAAGTAAATAAATCTTATAAAATCGCTATAAATAAAGCAATATAATTTAGTTCGCAGATTTAGAAAGTAAAGTAGAGTCTAAGAAGAAAGAAAGAAAAATACAAAATAAATTACCTATATATATAAACTTCAATAAATTAAATGAAATTCTTCATGGATCAGTTTAATTACAATTTACTTTTATACCTTCTGAGAATTTATTAATATTTAGCAACAATGTCCGACTTACATATGTTAGTCTTTCTCTTGGTATAAGCGAAGAACTCACTAAGTGACCAGTTTTTGATTGTATTAAAGGCAGGTAAAATCGTTCGAAATGAAACGACCAACGAGATGCGAGGTAATATCGTCAAGAAGAAATCAAACACGATTCATAAAACAGCGTAATGCAACATGCCGCGAATTATGAAAGGATCAGCCCTGAGATCGCGCATGCCTTTTTGCACCCGACGCTCGTAACTATACACTATACATTCGAGATGACATTGATTACGATGAGGAAACGAGCGACAAAAAAATTCGCCGTTCCAGTCGCTACCAATATCAATTCCTACATGGACGAGAGACATCTTCATCGATCGTTTTGCGCTGTATAGACTCGATTGTGCGACAGATGATCTCTCACTCCCTCTTTTTATAAGGAATAATTCTCAGTTCCTTAAAGCCACAACAGGTGACTGTTTATTTTACAAATATAATATATATATATATAAACTATTAAAATAATATAAACTATTTAATATGATAGCTCATTTTTAATATTTGCAAGTTCATTCTAATTTACCCATAAGTAGACATCAGAGCTATTTTTTCTTCTTTTTCTTTTCCCTGGATGGACCCCAACCTCCTAAAAAGAGTCATAGTATATCACAAGTAAAAGCCGAATCAAACAATCTAATAGACAATTTAATCTCCTTGAGGCAGGAAAGATCCAGATCCACACACACACATTTTGTAACGATCGCTGATTTTGTGCGTTTATTTAAGGATAAATATTATATTGTCATTTTTATATTAAAAAACTTTTGTTTGACATCCTAAAAGTAAAAGAACGATTTAAAAAGAAATAGATATCCACGTTGAGTGATTAAAAATAAAAATTTATTAAAAAAAAGAAACTTAAAAAAGACAAGAAACTTAACTTAAGTTTAAATTTGATAATTTTTACTACAAAGTGTAAAATTATTTACTCTAACAGTTGATGTTTAAATTAGTATAATTTGAGTTTTTCTTTATTGTAAAATCAGTGTAACTTATTTTCCCAGATAATGTACTGCTTTTTCATTTAGATAAGTGTACCAATTTCCGACGTTACTTGTAATGCGAAGTTTTCGTTTCGATCCGGAGTGCCTTTCTCGGTAAGTACTCGAAAAACCAAGCGATTCGTTGAAAGCGCGCAATCGGCCGAATGGCACCGGACCGATCGATGGAAACAAAAAAGGCATATCGGACCGGCTCGATCAATCTCAACTTGACGCACTGAATTCTGGTAGGACTTGTTTTTTCACGAAACTTGTACGTGGCAACAATATAGATAGACTTGCGTTTTTTAGGGCGTGCCGTATTTGTACCAGTCAATTTGGCGCAGCGCAAAATATTACCCTCAAATCATTTATGAAGAAAGAAACGAGGTAAACACCGAGAGATAATCTGAAAAAATTACATAAGCATCGAAAATTTTGAACGATCGCCATAAATTCGACTCTGATTATTTTAGAACATTTCAACAATCAAAGGACAATAAAAAAATTTAGAACAATCAAAATTTTTCCTAATTTTCTCAATATGTTTCTTATACATCCCGCACTATTAAATTCATATTTATTCCCACCATTTGAATTATTTTTAATTATTTCTAGGCCATCATTGCTCCTACTCAATATGTCGTGAATTTATGAGTAACTATATAAAAACAATGGAGTTAAATAATTTTATTCAAGAAATGTGTTAAAACTAAATCAAATGTATTTGACTCAAATTTAGTTTCTTATTTATTAAGTACATATGTTAAAATGTGTTGTTTACTTTGAAAAACTAGCAATTTAATTTTAACATATAGAAATTCAAAATATCGAACAGAATGTTATTTAACTTAAAGGATTGGGTTACTGCTGCTCCTTTGATATCTAACTGCGTGTTTATTGTGCTATCATTATAATTTTGTTATCAACACAATGGCTCGTTTTGACATGAAGTTATTCTTCTTGATAGCGATACTTTATACGAAATTCACATCAGAACAATAAATTACGAAGCGATACTGATCTACAACGTGCGATCCGGGCCGCAATCGAGAATTGGAAAACTTTTAAACTGGCTAGATAAAACGACGTCGGTACCACTGACGCATTCTTACCCGCGCCGTATTTCATCGAAGCTGTGTGAGGGCCCTCCTCGTACCACTCGCGCTATAAACTAGAACGGTGTGTTGCGCGAACTGACATAAATCCGTTTCTAGTCGCGATAATCCGGCTTGCGTCTACCTCAATCCGCCCCTCAGAAAGTACCAGCTATATGTCTTTGTTCATTCGTGTTTCTCTCTCTGTCGACACATAAACGCCATGGAAAATTAATTATTCGCTGTACTTCAATATGAACTAACAACTGTATATTGCCTCCTAACATACTTTTCTAACGATCTTGCTGTACACGTTACAGTCCGTTAACCCTCGCGTTATAGCAACGAGACGACCGCACGTTTGCGAGCCACGTGGCAGAAATCGCAATGCATTTTAAACGAAAAACTTGGAAGCTAACAAGTAAAAACGTGCATATACGTGTACAATTGCAGTCTATACAGACGGCTTTTCAGTGTAGACAAAAGTTAAAACTTGATTTGTCATAATGTGACAGGAATTCATCTAATGTCATTCACTCAAAGTTAAACTGTATAATTGAACAACTGTATAAGTAAAAGTTAGAAAAGTTAACGTGACATGACAGAAAAATTATAAGCACTAATCAGCTAGACATAATAAATTTGTACGGAAAGAATGTTTTGCTGAAGAATGTAAAAATATAATTATAGATACTAGATTTAAAATAATTTTGTTATCAAAATAATTATACAAGTATATAGATTTGTTGCTAAAATATCAAAATTTTTTTAGTATTATTATTATGCTGAAGATTTCTATGTAATTATTTTTCAAATAAAACTTTCAGATCTGTTTCAGGCCTAGCTATAAATTTTTTAATATTTCGGTAAAACTGTTCTTTTCGTGTGACAATTTAATAGACAAACAAAAAGCGACTAAGAAATATGTATATATACCTGTTATAAAATGTACTGAGTTTTTTACCAGTAATTAAATGTGAAATTATTTATCTTAATATAGATATCTGTTTCTATGCGATGAATTCATCACAAATTTTGGAGAATATCCACGACATGAGTACCAAGAGTTAAGTTGTGTGTGTGTGTGTATGTAAGGTATTCCTGTCAATTCTTGAGATGTGCTTGACGTACGTATAAAAAAGTAAAAAATGTACACAAAAAACAAACTGCAATTTATCATAAATCAGATGCGATTTATAATTATTTCTTCATCATACGTGAATTAAGATAAAAATGACCATATAAATTTCAAATTAAGAACCGATTGGATAATTGCTTACCAGATATTTATGAAATACTTGAATAAATTTAGGCTTAAAATGATTCTCATGCGTCTTTTCATATTTTTAGGGTAACAATAAATTTCTCCAACAAACTAAAACCACCAACTGAAAGATCCGTTTCAAGGATAAGGGCCAAACAAAGCTCGTGCGCAACGCGCCGTATAGATACGCTGATTTGCAAAGAGCGTATAATGGATCGGCGTCACGCTAATTGGACGAAAGGAGCGAGTCGAAATTACTTAGGCGCGTGCTTGAAAGAAATCGTGACGGGACGTGTAAAATGAGGTTTGTTAGCGTGCGCCGGGTGTCACGAGATTACTATGTTTCTTAGTGTGTGTCAGGACACGGTTTCTGTAATGTTAGATGGATCGCGGGAGAAGCCCGCGCACAATGGAAACGACAATCGCGCGGGTGCGCGGCGAGAGCAAATTAAACGAGATTTACAGCGAGCGCACGATCTCGTCCTATTAACCCTGGACGTACTTATGCATTCGATGAAATACGGCTATACGTAAGAATCACCATCGTGAATAAGTACTCGCGATACCCTGCTGCTTTCGACCGACTGTAAAGCGATAATAAAGTCAGTCTTTGTATTCCATGGCAATACATATAGTTAATAATTTTAAACGCACGTATAATCCTGCATCGTCGTGTGTTTATTCTGTATGTCTTCATTCCGAGCAGTTTAAACGTTACACACGCATAATATAAATACATACATTATTCAATAGAAGAAATAAAAACAAATTAAATTAATTTGGTGTCAAATAAATAACTTCTTTTTCAGTGGAGAGATACTTTTGTTACGTTATTCAATTAAATTGGCTATGGCATCTTCAATATATACGTTCTAAGTTTTACACGTATGATTCTTCCTTAGATGATCTACGATTCGTGAGGGAAAATTTCTTTTTCTTTTTTTTAATTAAAATTACCAGAGACACTAGCGGGACATTAAATTATTCCCGCATTATCCGTCCACAATACAGACTTGTTTAGCATACATCGTTACATGTTACGCTGGCGGCAATACCAATTATCAATTAATCATTAACTTTTATCACGCGCTCGTCTCAATCACGCTATACCCAGCCTTTACAACGCTATTCTCAGCGTTCTATCGTCGTCTTTACGCAACGCGGACACGCCTGTCTAAGTGGGAGACGCAACAGGTGAATAATAATACTTACAGAGAAGCGTCCTTTATCCTCTGCAACGCGAGAAGGGCCGCAGTAGGGGAGATGAAGACAGACTCGGGTGGTTCCATCATGCAGACCGACACGTCCCTCTCCCGATCCCTTTCCCTGTCCCTTTGCCTGTCGCGATCGCGCTCCCTTTCTCGGTCCCGCGCCTCCCTCTCCCTGATCGGCGGCTCTCTTTCCTGTTGACGTTCCCTCTCGTTCTCGCCGCTCCTTTCCCGCACCCGCTCCCGGTTCCTCTCCCGGCTTCGATCACGATCATGATCTCTGTCCCACGCTGTTTCACCCAACGGTGGCAAAGACGGGGATGCTGCAAAAGAAATACATTTCCTCCATTTATCCCTGTTTGCTTGCTTGCTAGAAAAATGTCAGTAATAATAACAATAATAACTTGATTGCGTACATACAAGATTGCTTTATGATAAATCGGATAATTACAAAGAGCTGAATGAAAAAGATATACTGCACGCAAAAGGTGAGGGGCACCAGCTATGATGCCTATCTGTAATAAAAACACGATGATCAGAGCGCAAGATGGATAAAACGTGAAACACGTAAAAAGTAAATAATTGTATTTTGTTTTGACAAATTATATTGCAAAATGAATCTCAACATTTATAAATAAATTCATCAATAAATTATTCCAGCTACGGAAATTTATGATTAATTCAAACGGGATTTTATAAGAGAGATCTCCTGATTTAACGGAAAGCATGATTCACTGCGTACGCGAGATGGCGATGTTTAATAATATTCGTTTTCTAATCTAAGGGGCCGGATTACACCGAGGGATATTTCTGTATAGAGAGGGAGAAGACGTTCTCGCAGATTGGAAACCTATTTCTGAGAACCGGTATCACCTGCCGTCCAACTGATTACGGTATTTTACATAATTACGCGATATCTCTCGCACCCTGTAAGAAGCGTGCCGTTCGAGTAATAGCTACTATCGCGAGATGCTCAAAAGTAAAATCGCGAATCACTATGTTCCGAGAAGATATGGAATGCAAGTGATATAATAGGGGTAACGTGCATTTTTTTTATATCATATCTACGTGTTTGCCACTTTGTGCGAATGTGCCATGGTACGTCACGGTACCGTACCCTCGATCCATCAGCGATCGAGGATCGAAGGTCGATGTTAGACGAGTACGATGCAGCTCGTGCAACTTCGCGCGAATAAATCAACGGAGCGAATAAAGCGCAAGCGTTCAATCCAACTCGCGCTCAAATCCACCTCGAGATCTCCCAATCCCACGCGACGGTGTGTTACAAATCGCTTTATAATCTCTTTTTACAGAATTGTTCGAGTAATCGGACTTGACTCGAGGCTCAAACTTCGCTTATCATTACGATCACGGGATTTTCTGCGAAATTTCGCGACTATCGTGAATAGTTTCCACGTAAATTTCTATATTCTTCAAAAATTGGTAGTTTATTACCGTGTTACATAGCATAGCATTGCAATTTACTTCGCTATCGAGAGAGTTTTGATGACCTCTGACCCGTTGACACCGCGACCGGTCAGTGTTGAATCTGGCCGCTGTATCTTGCAGCACGTTTTGCGATTTGTGAGCCGACTGACAAGCATGTTAAATGTCCGTGACATTACTGTTACTAATTAGTAGTCGCGTTAGCGAGGCAATACATTCGCGAGATCGAGCGGGAAGATGCGACGGCTTTGCGAGACTGCTGTCGATCGTATTGCCGATAATATTTTGACTACACGTCTTTCATTCATCATAGAAATCGCTTCCTTCATCGTCCCTTCTAATTGACATAAAATTGTATTTTGCAAGCTCATTTTCCTAAGCAAAATATGCTACGGTGGTATATATATGCGATCATTATCATGCAATTTCGATTGCGTGACATCGCTGAGCTGATAATTCAAAAATTCCTTTGATTCGTTTATATAGTATAAGAGAATGAGTGATAAAAAAGTTCAGAACATGATAAAGAGACTCGTTTTAAGTAATAATTTTGTTTTAATAAATAATTTTGAGACGTACAAATATGCTTGGTGATAATTTAACTTAAAACCACTGTCTACATTATTTGAAGTGGAATCTTATTTTAAAGAATGAAAATTGAGTCAGTCTTGAAAAAGAGTGGCTCAATTTTCAATCTTTAAAAATGAGATTTTACTTTTTAGGGTGAAATTCAATTTTAGAGAATACTCATTCATTGCTCGTTTCAAAAATACATAAAAATGATCAAAGATGTACGGAGAAAGAACAGTTTGAGATTCGTTTTACCTGACATTTACAACATTTGGGAGCACCATTTCATCTTTGTTACTAATCAAATATTAAACAACAATAAATTAACGCTTATAAGCGTTACGGTCATTAAGTGAAACGTATCTCTTGTTAAAGTACCTGAAAATTTAGCTAGATACAGATTACAAAAGTAATTCTGTAGAAACACTTAAGCATAAAAGCAATGCTGCAAAAATTGATATTTTAGCAATCAGCTTGAATGTCAGGCTGATAAAAAAAATTAAATTTTAAATAAATATTTGTTTGAGTGTAGTACTAACTAAATTATTTACTAAATATATACATATATTTAATTGGTATAGGAACCATTAATTTAATCTATCTATTATTTTCTTTATTTATTTGTTATTAGTAAATGTTAAGTTATTATTATTCAAACAAGTATTTATCAAAATTCAATACATTTTTTCTCGGTATACATAATTATATTTTGATGGTTTAACAAAATTATTTTTAGTTCTGTATCCAGTTAATGTTTACTTCAATAAAATTGTTCAATCCGTTTGCTACTAAAAATTATTTGTTCTGTTTTTGCCACTAATGATAAATAATATAACGATGATTTGTTCTCGATACTCATCTAACCGATCATCAATTATCCGTTTTGTCGTGGCAGAAATCTCGTGAGCAATCTGGAGGCAGTGAAGCATCTTCCAATCATATCGAGGAATCATTATGAATTCAGTTGACCGAGCCACGGTGTAACAGCACGTAACAGCGGTATTATTAGCCGCAATTTCCGTGCGCCGGACGGGGCGGCTTCGCTTAATTAGTCGCTGCTTCGAACACTTTTTCCCTTTCTGCCGCTGAAGTCTCGTTCAAGACGTCTCGTTATGGCCATTAACTCTTCTCGTAGTTCTAGAGACCTATGATCTTCGTTATCTAATGGGGAACGCAGTCGTACTGGGAACGACGTGATGTGACAGAGCTTCACCTGTCGATGTCTTACGTTTCACCCTAACTCTTTTTTTCTCTCATATTCTTTTTTCCGTCGCGTGTAGCTATATATTATATTAACTTGATCTCTGACGTTAAAATATAATAATGCTTGTGATTGGCGTATAGGATGACACATTTAATTATGCTTCTATAAAAAGGGGTTGGCTTCCGGTAAGAATTAACGATTAAGAGATAGAATTCGCGCAGACAATCTGGTTCAAGTAACTCTGGATTAATAGTATACCATCTCTTTCCATATTACACTATTTATAATACATATGCAAGGAGAAGGAAAGATTTAATTAAAACATCTAATTAATTTTAACCGAATACGTGGTTATAATTCGAGCTCGGCTAGTTCGAATTCTACATAATGATATTACAGTTGAAATATGTAGATATCAGCCATTCATGATTGCGTGTGCATTTAGAAATCGCCCTTCCCTAATTTATAAAATTATGTAAATTATATTAAATTATAGAATTCTGATTTTATTTTTCAAAAAGAAAAATCCTCCTTCCGCAGTATCCTTTCGCTATACTGTCTCCAAAATCGTTAATTACTATAAATCTCAGCACGTTTGTAATAAACATCTTCTGTTGCTCGATTACCATACCAACGACTGTGAGGCCATCCCTCTCGCGTTCGCTATATCATCGCCTCGCCCACGCCAGCGACAGGGTTAATCCTAAGCAGTAATACGTGGTCTTAGCATGTTTTACCTTTCTGTCCGTTTCACCTTCATCTTCCCTCTAGGAGCTCGCTCCCACCCGCGAGGTCTTTACCTTCGATTTTTTCACATTTTTTCTTTTTTCTTTGCGCATAGGTATTCAAAGCGCTCTCTCTCTCTCTCTCTCTCTCTCGTACGCGCAAGGAAACATCAGGGGGGTAATTGATAATGTTAAACGTTGGGGTTAATCCGTCGATTTATGAGCAGAGTTTGCACCGTGGATTTTTTAGAATCCGCCAAATTGAGGGATAATCGTCCGACGTTAATGCCTCGCTGCTAAAGATCGCCGCGCGAAGTCGGGGGTTTGATTGAGAGAGATAAGTAGGAGTTCGCGGAGGTTTATAGCGCTTCGCGTGTCCAGTGGCGAATAAAAGAACCCCGCTAATCCGCCAAGAAAAAGAAGGGGTGCCTGAATCGGCTGAGAGAATCGATCTCGCGTTAGACGCGGTGCGCGGGCGTTGAAGATAAAGCGCTTGCCTCGTGACCCGGAGCCAAAGGTAGTCACTCGTTGTAGGATTCTGCGTTTGCAACGATGTGATTCAAGTTTCATCCCGCGACTTTTGAATCACGTTGTACTAATCCGTGACGGTGACTTGTGCCTAGGAGCTTATGCGTGTTTAGATATATAAATATTAACGTAATGGATATAACGTAAGAATATAATAATAAGGATGAAAGTGTTAATATGCAAAAAGAAACGCGAGTTTGAAACATGAAAAATTTTGCTAGATGCAGATCTGAAAATAATTTTGTTGGAATCCAAATAATGTTGAAAACTAAAAAATAATAAGCAAAACAATTTATTATAATGTTTTAAAAAAAATCTTTCTATATTGGAGAATATTATATGTGATTGAACGATCGAACGAGATTTAACCGTCTAGAGCTGACGGTGAGTTTATAGGATTCACTCAATTATAAATTTCTATGTCAAAAGTGACAAATTTAATTTTTTTATGTTATATTTGCAAATTTTGATTATTCCTATTAAAACATATTTAAGATTCATTTTTTAAAATAAAAATTATGTCATTTTGATTCCTGAAATTAATTACTCAATTTTAATAAATGATTCTATCTTTCTTGACATTCAGAAAGTAACAAAGATAGAACAACATTTATGTCACCAAATGGAAAGCATTTAACTATTGAAGTCAACATCGCATTCAACTCAAGCGATTACTATAATAAAAGGCTTTATTTTTTGTTTTTTTTTTTTTTATATCGAAATAGAAAGACGATTTCGAACACATCTGTGTCATTCACGAGTGAACGATCAGCGGTTCCCGTTTACTCCACGCTTCGCGCCCGGCAACATCCATTATTACGCGTCGTATAATCCAGCGGGTGGGCGCATTAGCCACACGGAAATATGCGCGAGTGCTCGCGTGCGCGTGCACAGGATGGAAGGTGGGTGGACATGCCACCCGCGTTGCGGAACTCGTTAAGCTTTATGTGTTTTCAATTAAGTTTCCGGGCCCGCGTACACGCGGCGCGTAGATTAGCGCGGGCGGCCGCGCGCTTAGGTCGATTAATCGTCGAGTATTATCTCTCGCTCTTCGTGCCGCGGGGGCCACTACGATGTTTAGAAAATTTATCGATGGCGGTTCGTTGTACAAAGCACCGGTTATCCATCAGGTGCGAAGATAACGCGCGCGATAACGCCTAAACGTTATTCACGCGAAGTGCCGTAAGTCTATCCACAGAGCGTTCGCAGCTCGGATAGGAACCCATGGATGGAATCGCTGAACTTTCACGCCGATATCTATGTTTTGTAGGAAAAAGGAAAGAAATTCGCGTAGGTCGAGACAATCGGAGATACCGTCATCGATTGTGAGTGTAGTCAAAAAAGTGTAATTTTTATTTAGATTATTTAATTATGATAAGAACGGAATAAAAGATATAGTATGAATATATTGACTTATTACTTTCAGACGATTGATTATTACTGCGACGTATGTATATAAATATACATGGAAAGAACAATTTTGTTGAAATATCTAAAAATTTAACTAGATACAAATCTGAAAATAATTTTGTTAGACCAAAACTATTATATAGGACACTCAAATCAGTTTAAGCGTACAACATAATTATTTTGACATGGTCTAATAAAATAATTTTCGCAAATCTGTAACTAGTTAAATTTTTAGATACTTCAATAAAAAATCGTTTTACCTATACGTTATAAAAAATATATTCATAAATAAATACAAAAACATTAGTATATTATTAAATTAAAAAATTATATAGACAAAAAAGACGAAGTTATAAAATGTGTACAATGTGATGGTTTTACAAAACAGAATCCAAGAAAAAATTGCAATTACCATAACTTAACTATAATTTATAATCATTTTCAGTGTCAATTTTATATTTTTTAGTATAACTATAAATGTAATTATTATTATTGATACTATAGAGTAATAATTATAAAAATGGAGCCCCTATATAACCGTAATTATTTCACCATACAAGCAAGATTTGCATTCGTAAATATCAAACATCTTTCTCTCAGTAGGATTTCACATAATACGTTCAGTTTGCACGACAGAAATCATTCTGGAAGTAATTAAAGTTCATCTTTCGTCATATTTACGGCTTCAAACCGTGTCGCGCAACTGGCGTGACGCAAACACGGGATGAACGATTATTTCTTTGTCAAACCGCACGTTGACGTGTCTTTATCATAATTAAGTGCAGTCTCGTGTACACTAATTGACAAAGACGTAATTGCACCAGTGTGATGAAAATAAACACGAAAATGCAGTTATATACGTCAATTTCTTGCTCGAAATCGCGAAATAGCGTTTCATACTCCTTATAAATTTCGTTGAAGTATATAGATACATTACGCTTGATAGATGATATTGTAGTTCATTGTTCATTCACAATAATGCTTTGTTAGAAAATCTAGAAAATCAAATAAGAGTAAAAAAATCCTTTATAAAAAATTATTCAGATCTTTCCCACCACCCCGTTGTCGATTTCAATTAAAACGGGACAAACACTGTATATCCACAAGAAGTACATAATTCATTAAGAAAATATTGAAAAACCAATTACTGATATTTACATTTCGCTTGATTATTTTTGAATTGGTTACTATTGAATTACTGTTGAATTGGTTCTACATCAATCTTATGCGTACAAGTGTTAATACGATAATGTTTCATTAATATAAAAATTCTGTAAGTCATGTGTATATACAAAATATTTAATGTGTTTGTGACACTATTAAATCTATAGTGTCAAATTTAATATAATTCTTTTAAGTTATCGTTGCTTCTATTCAATATCGTTATTTTATACTAAAATAACAGAGTTAACTATGT